GTTTCAGTCAAATCAAAATTTAAGTATTGGCAAGATTAAAATACTGATAGAAAGAAAAAACATTAAAATATTGACAGAAAGAAAGAAGAGTGCCAACGAAAAAACTTGGCAGATCTGACTGACCTAGTAGGCCAAAGACATATCAACCAAAAAGGGCTTTATCCAGGACAATTAGAATCCATAAACGGCTTCTTCGGATTATTTTCTGAAGTGCCTTTGTCCTGACCTCAGATTTTTTTGGGGTAAAATCCCAACTTCTACCAAAGATCATTCATCTCCAGCAGATACCCCTTCACACAAACGTGATCATCATGGAAGTGTTGATATTAGCCGTCGCTATACTGAAGCATATGCTTCAATACATTGATACGGGACTTGGAAGAGAGAAAGGTTTTGAGGGCGCGGATCTGGTCAGATACCGCCCCATGACCATCATGGTCAATACAGAATATCTAACAGACCTTGTCGACTTAGTGCGCCAGAAACGGCCCAACCTACTTATAATAGACGATTGGATACCCCAGTCGACAGCTGAATTCCTCGGACGGGACTGTATGCCCAGACCAGAGAAAGCAGTTGGTGACCTCTTAGGCCTCATGTTTATCTTCCACCAAAATATGAGTGCCCCGGTACCAGGCCAAACCACCCGGATTAACCTATGCTGTTCTAACACGTATCCAGACATTAGGGAGCAGCTGCAGAGAGCCAAAACCTTTACCCGAGACTTGGCAGTACATTTTTACAAGATAGACGAACACCCATCGCAGAGGCATGCCCGATATGCGGAAACAATTCGGGTTGCCGCCGGTGACAACCTGATGTCGCTTTCCAGGCAGGACGCCCCAAGACAACCACCCAGACGAGCCCAAAGATTGGTCTACTCTGACTGGGATGCCGAGGACAATACGCCTCTAGTCCCATATAAACACCCAGTCGGAGCCGATGAGGAATCAGAAACAGAAGAAGAGGCATGCGGACCGATTCCCTCCGGAGCAAGACTAATTCCCGCAGGGATGGAAGAAGATGATCTTCCTGACCTGGAATAATGAACNGGTTGCCGCCGGTGACAACCTGATGTCGCTTTCCAGGCAGGACGCCCCAAGACAACCACCCAGACGAGCCCAAAGATTGGTCTACTCTGACTGGGATGCCGAGGACAATACGCCTCTAGTCCCATATAAACACCCAGTCGGAGCCGATGAGGAATCAGAAACAGAAGAAGAGGCATGCGGACCGATTCCCTCCGGAGCAAGACTAATTCCCGCAGGGATGGAAGAAGATGATCTTCCTGACCTGGAATAATGAACTATAAACATGGGGGACTATGTCAGATTTTGAAGGAAAAGACTATTATTACCATTATTGTTCTTATTTTATTTTCCTCCTAACTTTTCGCCACCACCATTGATTTTTTTTCTACAAATTTGCCACCATACCCCCTTCCCACCCACACACGCCTTTTTGAGAGGAATAAACCCTACAAACAAAAGAACACTCAGATGCTTGATCTTGTGTTGACGTAAAGATTAAGATTATTGCTACTGAATGAACCAGGGTAGTTTTGAGAAAATGTTACCAGACCAATTGCACAAAGCAAATTGTTAAATGCAATGAATGATGTCGATGTAATATCAAGGACTGATGACAAAGAACTTCTCCGATGAGAAGGATAATTAGTTAGACATGTTATTATCAATGTTGTATTTTCAAACTATTAAACATTTACTTAAGTTTCTATATGTAGTTGAAATGGACGCTTAGCAAAATGACAGCTGTAATTAAACCAGCCGACTTAGATCAGAGCACAGATGTCCACAAGACGTATTCCAATGCAAGTTATTATTTCACTGAGAAGTTATATCTAAATGATACCTCATCAATTTACTAATGTAGTCATATCTCTAGTATATTGATGCAATACATAATTTTAAAGCACCGTTCATTCATCTCACGCAGATACCATTTAACCAGACATAATCATCATGGAAGTTCTCATACAAGCAGCCACTGTGCTGAAGAAAATGATCCTATGGCGATAGTCAACACGGACATGCTAAAGAAGATGACCGACCTGGTGCCCAGCGTCGTCCTCACCTCGTTATCATCGATGACTGGTCGGCGAATCGGGAAAATAGAAGCGTATCCGAGCCACAGAAAAGAGAGAATGAGGGAGAGACATCGGGGTCACATCTTCAACTTGCTGTAGTCCGTATGAGCAAAATAAAATTCCTTTCACAGGAGTTGTTCATCACGGAAGTGTTGATACTAGCCGCCGCTATACTAAAGCTGAATGGAACTGGACAGAGACAGCGACTTTGAGGGCGCGGATCTCGTCAGATACCGCCCCATGACCACCTTAGTAAATACAGAAAACCTCTACGACATGGTCAATTTGGTACGCCAGAGAAGACCAAATCTGCTAATTGTAGATGATTGGATGCCCCAATCAACAGCCCAATTCCTGGGAAGAGATAATATGCCAAGACCAGACGAGGCGGTTGGTGACCTTTTGGGCCTCATATTTATATTTCAACAGGGCATGAGTGATCCAATGCCAGGCCAACGAACCCGCATTCACTTGTGCAGTTCCAGCAGCTATCTAGGCATAAGAGAGCAGCTGGACAGGGCCGCCACCTTCACCAATGTCTTGGAAGTGCATTTCTACGGCAACGACGAACGCCTATCACAAAGAGCGCATTCTCAACGAATTAAGCCAGGCTTTACAAAGCCGGTGACCTAAAAATGGCGGACGTACATGAAAGAAAAACCGCCTAATCTTTTAATAGTCTCTCTGCCTCTCACACGCCTCCCCACACGTCGTCCCTGCGGGATACAGTAATTAAATCTCGGCTCCGAACATTAATATTTCCGTGAATATCTCTGGTGATATTATCTCCGTAGATAGTCGATTCATTGCTGCTCTACGGGCCAAATTATTCCTTTTTCGTCTCTGTTTTCAAAGATAATAGAACAGAAGAGCTTTTTTCCTTCGATCGCCTTCAGCCGCCATGCTTTCTTCACCACGAGTTTAACTGATGAGCATGCGCACATATTTCTCAGGTAGCTTCTGCATGGCGAACGGAGACGAGATTTAATTACTGTACCCCGCAGGGACAACGTGTGGGGAGGCGGAGAGACTATTAAAAGATTAGGCGGTTTTTCTTTCATGTACGTCCGCCATTTTTAGGTCACCGGCTTTGTAAAGCCTGGCTTAATTCGTTGAGAATGCGCTCAAAGACAGGCAAGATATGCTGCCATCATTCAAAGTGCCGCCAGTGAAACCCTGCGGTCCCCAACACTAAGAAGAACCGCCCAGAGACTGATTTACTCATCGGACTCTGACTGGGATGCTGAGGACAATACACCCGTTGTCCCATATAAACACCCAGTCGGAGCCGATGAGGAGTCCGCATCGGAAGATGACGAGAGCTACGAACCTATCCCCCCCGGAGCAAAACTCATCCCTGCGGGGATGGAAGATGATGACGATAACGCTGATGATCTTCCAGATCTGAATTGAAGAAAGCCTAAGGGACTAGATGCAATTTTCACGAAAGACTGTGGTTGTCATTATTGTTTTATTTTCCGCATGATTTACCTTCTTACCAAACATTGATTTCTTTTTCTTTTATTTCAACAACATTGCCCAAAAGCCCCCTTCCCCCCTTTACAGTGACGCGCTTTTATCACACGTAGAAGCCCCCGTCACACAACCTTTATACGAGACTTGGCAGTACATTTTTATAAGAATGACGAACACCCATCGCAGACAAGCCTGATATGCGGAATTAATTCGGGATGCCGTCGGTGACAACTTGATGTCCCTTGCCAGGCAGGAGGCCCAAAGACTACCACCCAGACGAGCCCAAAGATTGGTCTACTCATCGGACTCTGACTGGGATGCCGAGGACAATACGCCTCTAGTCCCATATAAACACCCAGTCGGAGCTGATGAGGAATCAGAATCAGAAGAAGAGGCATACGGACCGATTCCCTCCGGAGCAGACTGATTCCCGCAGGGATGAAGAAGATGATCTTCCTGACCTGGAATGACCAACTATAAACATTAAGGATTATATTATTATGGAAGTTTTGATATTAGCAGCCACTATGCTGAAGAACATGGTCCATCATAAAGATGCTGAGGAAAGCCCGGTGAGGGACTACAAAGGAGCGGATATGGTCCGATATCGCCCTATGGCGACAGTGAACACGGTCATGCTAAAGGAGATGACCGACCTGGTGCGCCAGCGTCGTCCTCACCTCGTTATCATCGATGACTGGTCGGCGAGTCGGGAAAATAGAAGCGTATCCGAGCTATAGAAAGGAAAGACTGAAGGGTCACATCTTCAACTTGATGTAGTCCGTATGAGCAAAATAAAATTCCTTTCACAGGAAAAAGAGAGTTGTTCATAACTTTACAGTGACGCGCTTTTATCACACGTAGAAGCCCCCGTCACGATATTCAACATAACATCTGAATGTACCGGAGGAAGCGACGATAGAACATTAAATGATTGAAACTAGTTATTGTTGTCAGCTTTGGATTTCCTCATACCGATTTACACGTAACTATTTTGACCACAAACTTGGAAGGTAATATTTACGCGTTATCCAAAATAAAAGTATTCAACGGTGTCCGTATTTCGAGTATATTTTTTAATTTGATTCATAGCAAATTTTTGCACGGTCACTAGGCCTTATCTCCATCTGGATTCGTAGAAAAATGACACGCTATATTGTTTCAACAAACCTCTCTGATCATGTGTTGCAGAGCGGGAGCAGGTTTTTTTATGGACAAACATTCAGACCCATTTGGCGTCTGTATGTTATTACACGACAAGGTGGTTTCTAAATGAAATGGTTAAAACATAATACACATGACTAACATGATAAACATGATGTTTTTGTTAGAGAAACCCACTAGAATTTCTCGAATCCAGATACTTGAAAAAAAAAAAAAAAAAAAAAAACTGCCCCACCCACCCTACCCCCTGGACCACTGCCCTAGAGTACCTCCAAAGTTTACAACATAATGGAGCACCTGTACTGGTTACGTAAATGTGAGAAATGGTGTAACATCTTCAAGCTTGATTGTTTTCACCATACTGCAAGGCACAAATTGAATCTCCCAGTTATCTTGCACAATTATTTGAGTTTTCATAAAAAAATCAATAAATACAAGGAAAGTGGAAAAAACAAGCCCTGCAAAAGTTGTTCGCCTTACTACAGAACTTAACGTGTACCTAGCTCTGAAAATTGTAATTACCCTGAAGATTGTGAGAACCAAGCCTCCTCGTCTCTGCCCTTGCTGCTGGTGCATAGAATTCTTTCGTCAGCTTCGAAATACGTGTTGGTACTTTGAGTCAGTTAACTCTCATCTGATTATCCGGCATTCTACGGGATTAACAAAGGTGCTTTCTGTCTGATCTTCTTCAACTGCATTGTGTTTCTGTCTGAGGGAGGTCCTCTCTTTTCACCGACACATGCATCGTTCATCTCCAACGAATTTTGAATGTTCATTTTCCTAAAAAAATATTTCAGAAAAATAAAACTAATTTCAGAAGCGGGATTACAGAATTAGCGAGAAAGTAATTCTCTTTTATTCATAACGTTTACCTTTAATTTATTACACTAGCATCTAGAGCGACTCGATTTTAGCGATAAAATTCTTCAAACAAATTATCCAGAAGAAAAACGAGTCAAGGAGCACATGATAAATAGAATAGAAATATGGCTATTCAAAATTTTCTGTTCCACGCTTATTCATGCTCAAACTCTACTCTAAAACTGATAGTGATGTCAATATAAATTTCAATCTCATTTTTCCGAAGTCAATAAATGAAAATCATTGAACAAGGCAAATTACCTCTACAGTGGATACAGGTCAAATAGTGAGTGACGCTTGCACAGCATTTTCATCTCCATGGGGACAAACTTTGGTAGGCTCCATTCTCTTGTGCGATTGCTAATTAGTTTCTCTTTGGTCTTCCCAAAATGACTTTTATTATTGATAATCTCTATCTGGAAATATATAAAGTTTTAATTTATACAACTTTTTGTGATACAAAAACTATACCGCCAAATGTGAAAAGGCATGTGATTATATCCATGTATATGGTTAAGTGTCACAGGACGTCGAAATCCAAATTTCCAATATATTGATATTATCAGGAGACTTCAAAATTCTTTAAATTACCTTAACTACTGAGGTGGATCAAATGGATCAAAATAATCGAAAAAAAATCTAGGACTTTGGCTGGGGCAGTAGCCACTGAATGTGTGATCCTGCCATTGAGTAGAATTCAGAAAAGCTGGTGATTATACGAGCACGTTGGAAACAAGAGAAGGCATGTTAATCTGATTGCATTCAGCGAGAGTCCCCGCTGAGTTGGATCGATGTACGTAGAACGAGAGTATGGCTGTATTCCCAGAGCTTTTAGATCGATCTATCCCCGCGGGGAGTTTCACTAGATTACTGTCAGATAATCCGGCTTAAATGTCCGTCCCGCCTACTACAAGCTGTAAGGGGGTAATTAACTTTCGTGTCCGCTCGGCTGACAGCTATTTAGCGTGAACCCCCAGGGAGTTAGGTCGATCTAAAGTAGATCGATCTAATCTCTGGAAATGGGGTCTATGATTGGGAATGAGAGCCCTTAGTCCCTAGAAACGATTTACTCTTTTTAATCTTTATTGCACAAAAGACTAAGAAAATCCGATTTCACAGTAAAAATGGCGTGTTTATTGCCCTCGGCGATAAATTTAATTCATAAACTACATGTAGTAAACTTACATTAATCAAGGCAAACAAACTATCCAGGTGGCTTTGTTTGTTCAGCTCGTGGTCAGTCTTTATCCCGTTTATCAGTGACACTCGTCGCCAGGCAACCATTTAGACCATCGCTCCACACGACCATCTGGAATATTTTAATTGCTCTTTGTTTCAGTATGTCAAAATTTACTGAGAATCTTGAAGTCAGCGATGATCAAAATATTTTCTGTTTTCTAAGTTTTATAGTGAATGCATAAACTAGTAAACCCTAATAAAAATAAATAACAAATGTGATGTTAGTAATTGATAGCCACGAGTGAATAAGGTGCGGGGATTTTTTGTAGAGTAACTGAGTTGATTTACATGTCCTCATAATACGTAAGCAGCAGGATCTAAGGCTTCGTTCACATGGAAAGTCTATTTTCTAAAAATCTATTTTCTATTCGCGGTATCTTATGATCACGGTCTGTGCCCTGAATATCCCGCAGCGTAATTACTGGCAGCGCGAGCCAGTTACTTATAGTAACTTATAATAACTGGCTCGCGCTGCCAGTAATTACGCCGCGGGACATTCAGGGAACAGACCGTGATCACAAGATATACCGCGAAAAGAAAATAGATTTTTTAGAAAATAGACTTTCCATGTGAACGAAGCCTAATATAAACGGAAAGTAGGCCACTATAGATTGAAAGAGGTAGAAAGGGAAATGAATAACAGCTGATCAGTAATCAACTTTTTTTTTAGCCCATAAGGACCTTCTCGACTTCACATAATGGATCTGTTGTCTGCGAAAATATCAACTGTTCTTCATTCTCATTTTCTCGTTTTTCTTCATCTTTTTATCTGAATATTCATAAGCAGAGTTTGCAACGAAGACCTGAATTCGTTGCCAGATTCGTTGCCACTCGTTTTTAATGTACGGTCAAGTACGTGCCCCAAGAGTATCTTACGTGCGTTTATGCGTCATTTGAAGTTGAACCCTGTGATAGATATCTACAATCTTGATCTAACCAAGGTCCAAGAGCGTGCAATTATGTAAGCATGCATGCACGTGCGAGGCAGGTGACGCGCAGCGTTTTACCGATATAATTAAAAGGCTCTTTCTTGTCCGCCGCCACCTATCAAAATAGGTGAATAAAAACACACACACACAAGCAGAAGTATAAACATAGTTACTTACCATATTTTTACAATGCGGTCTCTCTAGACCTCTTGAAGTTTGGCCACGCGAGCATCTTCCACGTTTCCTCCTCCCTGTCCACAAAGGGGACTCAAGTGACAGAGAACCAGTCATACCACTGCATGCAGAGAGGGAGAACTGTTCTTATGTCAGTTGCAACAAGTAGACGGGTTTTTATAACAAGATTACCCTAGATGTTGTGACGTAGCTGATAACATATGTACAGCCGAAAAGTGGTTGCCATGCAAGAAGCTGATTGGAGGACCGGATCTATGGACCCCAAAATACAACAGAAGCCAGTGGTCAATACGAAAGCCAGCACGAAGCCATTGTTCGTTCCCCCTCAGTACAGTAGCAAAATTACCGTGGCGAAAAGTCATTATCAGATAACTTCACACATGCTTCATATGAAGCCAGTTTTTTCCCCACAATATTTAGAAAGGATGCACACTATTGTTTTTTTCTATCTGATTTATTTTATAATGTGTACCCCCTGCAGTAGGGTGAGGCTTCGCAGTATTTGTTTTGTTACAATTCAGTGCAAAATAATCGTGGTAAGTATATGATATCTGAATTCGTATATCTACCGTATTTGATGCAGCGTATGCACTTGAGAATAATTTAATTTTTATTCTCTTTTGTTCATTCTCGTCACATTAAATTTCCACGTCAAATCAAAAGTTTTTCGAAAAAAAAAGATAATTCTCCACTCTCGAATCATTGTTCAATCCGTTCCTGCAACTCCTGGGTTCGATGTCTTTTTTTACCATTTCTAATTGAAGGATCATGATTTAGTTCTACGTTACTAGCCAGTCATACACATGCATATATTTAAACCGTCATGTCTTAATTTTACATTTCAGGAGATAAGCCCTGAGGTAAATAAAGCATTTAATTCATTAACTTAATCGCTCATTATTTGAATAATGTTATAATGCAATACATCTCTTTTATCTTTCCGACAATATTGCCTGAATCGTGAACAATTTGTGTCGATCACGGCTCAGAGTTCGTTGTGTAAATGGAACTAGAAGCAGGTTACATAAGAATTATTTATCATGTGGTGCTGTTGCTGTCTCTGTTGTCACTGTGATACAGTTCTTGCTCGCTTGTAACTTTTTCCCTGGGATAAATGAAGTAAAGCCCGACTAGGGTACCGTTCAGAATAACACCAATTAGGTATGTAATCTGAAAAAAATAAGAAAAAACATTTAAATGATTATGTAAAAAACAAAATATAACGCCTTTGCATTTAAAATTGTTTACTAAAAAAGATAAAACTATAAAAGGACGATTATACGGTCAGGTGAATTGTTCAGGCGTTTGTATTTTTTAGCGTTCAGCCTTACGAATGCTGACGGTCGTGAATGTGTGACCTCTTACACGTCAACTTATAAATGTCCATTCAGTTATTCTCTGTAACGTAAATCTATCCATCTTTTCACATCCAAACACACATCATTTATTTATTTATTTATTTATTTATTACCTCCGCCAGGGATGTTATATTTTCATCTTCATTTGCCTGTCACCAGACTTGCATAAAAAGATACGGATGTTTTTTATTATTTTTTTTTTTTGGGGGGGGGGAGGGGGGGATTGGTCAGAAACGGGCTAACTTCAAAGTAATTTGATTTTGTTGATGATCCATTGGTTAATTAATGGTTTATGAATAGTTAATTATTTGTCTTGGCGGAGGTCTGCGTTCACTGATTACTTTTCTAGTTCCATTTATCCATTACCTGTAGAGCCATATCCTCAGCGAGAATCCCGTAGAGCAGCCACTCCAGAGAGACTAAGAGACTGAGGCAGGACTGAGAGAAGGAGGAGAGATAGGCCGTGCTCTTACTTGTTATCACCTCCATCTGAATTTAAGTAAAAAAATATATATAGCATATTACTCTCCTTCGCTAATTTTCATTTCTTTTGCCGCTACACATTATTTTTATTTAATTCAACTTTAAATTGGTTTGGTGTATCAACCGAAATGACTTAAATCTGGAATTTTTTAATGAGAAAAACTTTCCACATTTTTGCTGAAAATAGGGATTTTTTTCCACATATTTTACACCTCAAATGCTTACCATGGAAATGAAGGGCGAGGCATCAGCTAAAATGCTTGTCGCCACGCAGGCGCTACCCGAGTAGAAGACTTGGAGCTTCAAAGTAATGGCGTAGTGTCGGTAGTATGTCCATGCTAGAAGACACACTATCACTGTAGATAGTATTTGTTTTTGCACTAAATCCTGAAATAGAATACCTGTGACATTATACGACACGTTAAATTCAAGGCAGAGAAAGAAAGCAAGGGAGTAGGTTACTGGTATTAATTAACAGTAACAGTATTATTATATAAGAAAAAAATAGCACGACCTAATATTATACTTTGTGTCATAGACATGGATCACATTGAATTTTTTAAAGAATTTAGAACGGCCCTCATACAAATAGTCTGACTAATGAAGGCTTGCCTAGCTCCTTCCCTACTTTGAGATAAGAAGAAGGTTACTGTAATAGTCTCAAGGATTATAGCTAATTAGTCTACGTGATGTCTACACTAACATATATACATGAATATCAGGCAATTAAAATTTTCATGTACTCACCGTGCTATGTGTATAAACATAATATACAGTTATATATACACTCTGGCATATCAGGCCCCAAATATACACAGCCACCATTAGGCGGTCGTTGGTCAACTTGCCGTAAAACATCCAGGAGAGCGTGCTGGGATAAATAAATAAATAAATAAATAAATAAATAAATAAATAAATAAAAATAGCTTTATAGGCACGAAAACAACCCCTTCTTTTTCAGCATCGATCGTCCCCTTGTTTTATTTCTGCAGGCAAAAAGTGTTATCGTTAAAAGCATCATTAATATGAAATGTTTTGATTGATTGTTTATGAGGCCAGGTACTTTTATTTTAGGGGTTTTATTTTAGAGGTATTAAATAAAAATCTATCCCTCATAAGCTAAAAAGTTAACTAACTTGACGTAAACAGCTAACATTGGCAAGAAGGCACAGTCTTGTGTCGATCTTGTTTTCATGATCTTCCAACATGTTAATCTGAAAAGAGACAATAAAATCATGAAGAGGTACAATGTGCATCACCCTGAGCTTCAGAGATAACTTGACACTAACCTCTTCACTATAGCCTATCTTCATCGTGTCAAGTTACCTCTGACCACATTCGACTTGAGCAAGAATATAAACATGAAGTAATTTATGACTCTCGGCAACTAAAAAAATTCTACGAAGATTCTGTATCTTTTTTTATTTTACTCGCTACTCAATAAAACAAAACTGTGCAAGGTGGGCGTTCCTTTTGAACGAAAAGAACTTCGCTTTCAATCTTATCTGAATGGCAGTTGTGTTATATGTATGAAATGCGTTTATAATATAGCACTTACGCTCCAGTAAGAAACAATACAAAGGTACATATCGCCACGAGCCAAGCGACAAGCATAAAGAGAACGTCCCCTTCAGATTCTGGTGCCGTGACAAGACTGTCTCCCGCAGCTCCCCCTGGTGGGAGTTCAAGTTGATGGTCGTACAGCGCAGTAGGGTCGTTTTTAAAGGCGGTGTCTTGCACGTGCGCGTCTCGTGGTTGTCTCACGTGATTATGCGTCGCCAAAGAATCGTTACTATTGATATTACCCTGAAATCAATAATAAAGAATAATGAGACTTAGGTGGGATATCGAGTGAAAAATCAACGAAATACCTTTATGGCAGGTGCGAATCGAACATTATAGATTGGCTACGAGAAGCACACGCGAGTGTGGGCGTGGGGTGGGGGTGGGGAATTGGGGGGGGGGGGGGCTTCCGTTTCTTATAATTCATGAAAATGCCTAGTATTTTAAAGAAACGGCATTAGATATGCTGTACCCGGTTCCCGCTCACCGCACTCCCAACACACACACACACACACACACACACACACACTCCTTCACATTGCCCCTACCACTAGATGTACCAGTTCTGAGGTTACAATAAAAGGGCGGTCGGCCTCATTACATCTTGACAGAGTATTACAGAAGGGGGATACTGCCCCCCCTTCTCCAGCCCTGCTCACCGTTCATTTTCTCCTAAGGCGCGTGAGTATCCAGGGATATCTCCGGTCAAGAAATGATCCCTGTGAGTTTCAAGTCCGGTTTGACTGGCGGATCCAGTATTTGGGGAAGAAGAGGGTCAGGGGCACTACGATAGATTTATCCGTACTGTTAGCTGTTTTATTGGGGGGGGGGGGGGGGGGGGAGGGGGGCTGGGGGTACGGCTGGAAATAGGATAGATTAACTTGCCCTGGAAGATTCTGTTAAGATTTGAGGTTTGCTAAACATATAGTCAAAGTTTGAGAAGAATTTCACTTATTCTAACCCGTAAAATAACCAGAGAGTATACATATATGTAGCCTACCTGCGAGTGACTCCCATTCAGTCCAGCCATGTTACTCAGCCAGTGCGTTCCCCTTTACTGAACTGCACTGGTTTAATACTAGGCGCTGCCTCGTCGTGTATTGTTGAATACCATTGAATATATCCCTTTTTTATGGTTCAGTAAAAATGTATTGTTAACCCATTGAGTGAAAACATAGCGTGCACACACACACACACACACACACACACCAGATATTAGTGCACCAATCTGAGCAGCAATTGCTGTATTATCTGCACTGTATTTTTTTCACAGAAACTACACTGTATTTTTCCTCGCAGGCATTGAAGTGATTAATTATTCAGTGTGATAACGGTGTGTCGAGATAGAATTATATAGACTCTCAATTTTATATTGACTTACCGTAAGCCTAATGTCATTTTGTACTAGGCCTACTGGAATTTGGCCGTATTCTGTAAAATGATCTATAATATACCTTCGGGCAACGGTAAGTACCGGTATATATGTTTTAGTGGCATATATATTTTTATGGGACCTGCTCGACAGAGAGACATTTTAGTACTGCTAGTCTACCAAATTTAATACTTGCCTATTACTGCCTATTGCTACGTGGTAAATTTACTTTACCATACTATAGTAAAACTGTATAAATAGGGGCAAATGTTTATCCAGAGAATATTATATCATGTGGGTAACATAAAATTGACAAATAATGAATTTGTAATATTATTC